TAGAATTTGCTCTTCTAACACTCTGCTGTGATGTTTTTCTATGGTAGTGAATATACCTCTATTTCATTTTTTTTTTTTTTGGACCAAGTATTGAACCCAGGGGCAATTAACCACTAAGCCACATCCCCAGTCATTTAAAAAATATTTTGTTAGAATTTTTAGACAGAGTCTTACTAAGTTGCTTAGGGCCTAAATTGCTGAGTTTGGCCTTGAACTTCTGATCCTCCTGCCTCAGCCTCCCAAGCCTCTGGGATTATAGACATGCATCACCACACCCAGTTCTACTTCATCTTTCCAATAGTTGAGACTATTCATTCCAGAATTTCAATTATACAGTCATAATTGTACCATAATTTATATTAATCATTCCTCTATTCATGGAAATCGAAGTTGTTTCCAGTTTTTTCCCCACTATTTTAAATATTGCTGCAGTACACATCTTAGCAGAACTGAGGCCAAATGGTATACACATTTGTAGTTATTGCTAATTGCCCTCCCCAAAGATTAAACTAATTTCTACATCCCTCAACAGTGTATAAGAGAACCATCCCCATGCTAACGGCCATTGTTGTAAAGAGCCKAGAGACTGTCCCCTCTGCTCCACTATCTACTAATTGGTACATACAAGTGAGCAGTGTGGGAGCTCCCTAGTGCTAGACCCACCTGGGGGGGTCATGCACATTTTAATTAATAATCTGACTGAGCACACAGATGGCAAGACAAGACTATCTGAAGGAAATATAAAGCTGCTCAGTGTTTCAGCTAATAGGACAGGTGACAAAATCAAGATGTCACAAAAATTCTTGATAATTAACAATCATGGGACTCTCTAATGAGATTAAATTCAGTGAAGATAATGCAAAATCCTACCCTTAGGTGCAAAATATGAAGTACTCCAGTGCAGGGCGGGGAGGCCAGGTGCTGTGAAGTGGGCTGCATCTACCTCTCTACCCATCAGGAGCTGAGGCTCAGAGACACCGAGCTGCAGACCAGTAAGTGTTGGAGCTGAGATGGGAAGCTAGGTCTGTGTGACTCCCAAGTCATCCCTGCAACCCCACACTGCCTCACTGCTAAACCCCAGCACACATGAAATAGGCAGGGGTGGGGGACGCCATACTGTCAGGTCATAGTGGGTTTAGGGGCTTCAAAAAAGTAGACGGAGTGTCTACAGTAAGGAAGGAGAAAGCCCAGCTTCCTCTGTGGCCTTATAGAGTACATCCAGAGCCCTGTGTTCCCTTCTGAGCACTTAAGGCTCATTGGCTAGAGATGTTATTACCTTGATTTGATCATTGCACACTGAAACTTCACACTGTACCCCATAACTATGTTCAATGATCATGTGTCAATCAAAAGTAAATAAATTTGCCAATTAAAAATTCTGACACATAGTAAGTATATTTGGTAAGTTTTCAATATTATTACTAAAATTATAGAAGTAGGAATGAGAAATTAATAGTGAGGAGGTAGACTAAACGAGAAGGGTCAATATGCATGATGACTTATAAATATGTTAAGAAACTAATAAAATTGAAAATAAGATGCTCATTAGTGGCCTCCCATGTATCCAAGGAACAGAAAGGGGGATAATGGAGGCACTGGTTCCATCTAATAAGGAACACAACAGATATCTCTGAATACGTAAGACCCATCATGGTGAAGAGGGCTCAGCCTTACCCTATGGGGCTGTGGAGAACAAAGCAGAAAAAATAGATGTGCTCTGTTCAGTGAAAAGAATTTTATAGTAATTAGCAATTCTGAAAAATGGAATTATCTACTCTGGGGATGTAGAATAATGGGAGACAGATATTTGGCCTTTGACCCTGGTTCCTGACATTGAGCTCCAAAAATCCTTGGAATTCCCTGAGTGAGAAGGGTAACAGGCGGGCCTTTTGTTCTAAGGAGGTGACTCTTGGTGGCCGGTTGTTGGAAAGACTAAGCCTTGATTAAAAGCTTGGAACTTACATCCCCACCTCCCAATCTCCTGGGAGAGAAGAGGGCTGGAGAGAGAATCATTGATGAATGGCCAATCAGTCCATCAATCTTGCCTGTGACACGGCCATAAGCCCCCCACACCGGGGTTCCACAGAGCTTCCTGTTGTTGGGCAGTCATGTGCTGAGAGGAAGGCACCTGAAGGGGGTGCGGCAGCTCCTTGCCAGGCACCCTGCCCCACACTTATTCTATGTGCCATCCCAGTGGGATGTTCCTGAGATACGTCCTTTATAATAATCCACTGACAAGAGTAAACTGCTTTCCTGAGCTCTGAGTCATTTCAGCAAATCAGGGAACCTGAGGAGGGCTATGGAAACACTGGCCAAGCAAGCCAGTGGGGAGGGCTGTGCGGCCACCCATGGCCTTTACATGAACCTGCAGTTCTGGTCTGTCCCCTGGATGTTTAAAGGCCTCAACCCAGGGACTGAGTTTAAAGGTACTTTGCAAAAGCAAACCAAAATCCTCTGTGCCAAAGGCAACGTGCTGAGGGCCTCCAGTGTCCTCAGGATGAATTTCAAGACCAGACAGCACAGAACCAGGTGGCCAGGCACACTCAGACACAACAGACGGCGAGTYACAGAAACCTCTGCTCGCCGTCCAGAAAAATAAAAGGCAAATTCAACATTATCTTAAGGAAACAGCAAACTATAGGAGGTGACCATGCAACCTTGATGTAGCCAGTGGATTCTTACACACTGAAAGCAAAGCAACCAAAGAAACAATAACAAACTGTGTACTATCAAGTTAAGAACTCTGTGATTCAAAGGACACAATCAAGAAAGCAGGAAAAAAAAAAAAAAACATAGAATGGGAAAAAGTTTTTACAAATCATGTATCTCATAAGGTCTAGTGTGCACCCTATATAAAAGACCCTTATAATCCAAAAATGAAAGCACAAGTAACCCAATAATGAAATACTTTGTAATTTGTTTTTTCATGGGTTCAGAAAATTTTAAATTGCTGTATTGAGTCCTCTATTGCACTAACTGCTCTAATTAACTCAGAGCAAGGCTGATTATCTTCCTCTGAGTGTTATGTGCCTCTGGGGTCTTTCATTGGGTGGGACATTGAGTTGGACACTTGTCAGAAGCTTATAACTGAGGACCATCAACATAAAACAAAGCCAAGGTACTCCAACTGAGAACTCATGCTCAGTAGCTTTGGTGGAAACAAAATCTAAAACACTACTTGATCTTGGTAATATCTTCCAGAGAAGCAATCTGACGGGATTGTGTTTCATATGCAGCAGACCACAGTGATCTGTTAAGTCAACAGATCTACCAATGGTTCCAGTAGTCAAAGGACCTATCCAAGGTCATGCTGCTGGTGAGCTGTAGAGCCATGACTTGAGCCCAGGCATCTGACTCCAGAGTCAGTCCTGCCCATGACCTGCCACAGGTGATTTCCCATCCATGGCTAGGAGCCAGAACCTGTCCCCAGGTGTACGTCAGAGTAGGTGACTCAGCCTGGKGAGCAGTGTTTGGTGGCCAAAGTTCATAGTGATTTCAGGACCACATGAAGACCCCATTTATGTCTTTCCTGGAGGCGTGGGTTTCCTCCAGACACAAGTCCCAGCAGGGGCCAGAGCTGTGCTTGGCAGTTTGCTCATTTTGGGCTGGGCTGAATTCTAAAAGCTTTTGGTGGCAGAAGCATGTCCTGAGGCACAGTAGTCTCTGGGGTCTCCAGTGTGTTGGTTCTCAGAGCAGAAACTTTGCATGGTGGTCACTGGTTTTCTGAGCACTGAAACAGGGACTTGCTGCTTATGCTCTGGGCTTTGCACCTGGGACATGCGAGGCTTCGTGTTTTGTGTCATCACAAGCCACTTGGGGAGGGCCATTTCAAAGCTTCAGAGGCCAACTTCCTGACATCATTCTGGTAAGAAGTCTGTGGGCACCTGTTCAGGGGCTTGGCCGAGGACAGCGATGCCTCCTTTTGCCTGACACAGTAATAGTGAGGGCACCATACCTGGGTGAATGGGTACGCTAAGCCAGGGCCAAAGGTGAAGATGAACATTGACTTCCTGGATGCTAGGGCCTTTCAAGTTCAGCCCATAGTCTTTCACCAAAAATTTGCTTTGGGAAGTGGTTGGGCAAGCAGCACTGGCAATATGGCAGCGATCAGGGAGCGACAACAACCATGATCACAGGAGCGAACCCCTACTGTATGCCAGGTGCAGGGCTGAGAGCTTTCCAGCTCACCTCACTGAGCTCACTCAAGACTCTCAAGACAGTTTCTGATTCACAGATGATGAACTGAGCTCAGCAAGGCTGGGCTCCTCACCCAGGTCATACAACTAGAGMGGGGAGCTGGAACTTGAACCCAGGCTTGTCTGATTCTAAAGCTGGGGTGCTAAAGCACTGATTAGCTACCTTGAAAACAGGCTCAGAGATGAAAAAGAATCAGGAGCTTCCACTGTACTCTGCAATTTCAGGGGAAGATTCCAAGGGACAGAGCGAGCTATGCAGGTCTTAAAGAAAAAGCAAAGCAAAGTGATCCCTGTGCCTGGCAGCAAGGAAGACCATCAGAGCTCAGAAGGAGGGCATGGGCCCAGGGAGTGGTGGGCAGCAGTACCCTCCTTTCCCCGCAGCTTCTCTGAATAAAGGTAACATTTGTAGTCAACACAGCTTTTGCACCTTTCTCCTGGAAATGGATCTGTTTGTGTGGCAATGCAGGGGTGACCAGCCTGGCAAATGGTCGGAGCTTGGATCCAAAAAAGATGCTGTGGATTATTTTTTAACCACTCTGACGGAACAATGGCATGTGTCCACCTGGTTTTATGACAGAACTTTTAAAAGATATGTGTCACCCAATTACTAGCACATTCCATGCCAGGGTAATAGCAGTGCCCCTCCACATCTACTCCATGCAAAGCTCTGGAAAGCTCTGTTTACCCCTTCCAGAGCTCCATTCAGGTGAGTCATTTGTGACCATCACAAACTGTCCACTGCTGTGGCACAGGCATCACAATTGTGTGCTTGGTGCCAGAACAGGAACTGAGGAATATTCTTACCTCATCCGAAGAGCCATTTTCCACTCTGAATCTGCCTGCCCTCTGGATAGCTCCATCAGCATCACTGGAAATAAGCTAGGGGAAAAAAAGAGCATTCAGTCAGTAGCTGGGCCACCATTTGCAATGCCCCTTCTGTCCAAATGGCTTCCTGCTATACTCAAGCCAAATCAAACATGAGCTGACGGGCCCTGCCTTGAAGCTAAGGGCTTCTTTTAAGTCCTATCAGTTGAGTCCTCAGAGCATCAGTCCCTCGATCTTAGGAGTCCAAGAGTCAGGACCACATGGGCTGCAAGAGTGGAAAATGAGAGCATCAAATCCAAATCAGAACATTTTCCCAAACTGAAAAACATTAAAGCAATGGTCTGTGGAAAAATAATCTTTCATACACATCAAATGTGGACAAGCAGCGGCTCACAGATGGCAAAACTSAAAGCCAAGCATCAAGTTCAACTGCCTTCCCAGGGCAGCCGGAAGAACAATTAGTGGCTGGCAGGAACGCAAGGATCCACTAGTATCAGAGGAAGCTCTTGTGCCTCATTCAGTTTTAAACAGTTTCCAAAAGGCCAACACATGCCTTCCAGGTGGGCAGACTGTCTGAGTAATGGCAAGAGGGCACTTACAGACGGATGGTCTTCAAGGGMTGGGTGCTAGGAGGAGGCGAGGGGGAGGAGAGCACATGTGGCACCACAGTCCTCAGACTGCTCCCCGAGATGCTCTCCTAGATTTCTCAGAGTGACTTGGAAAAATGATCTCTCTTCTTTTAACCTTTTAAATCTACCTGTAATTTTCAGCGAAGATCTGCCAACAACTTCCACACCCCAGAACTTATTAGAATATGCTTGCTGTGGGTGGGAGGGGCGCATCCTACAATTCCATCTCAGGCTCACCCAGTGAAACAGAAACACTATCTTAGGAGAGATTTGCTATCTATTACTTTCACTAGTATTTACAAGACATGGAGATGTGAAAGTAAGAGAAAAATTTCAGAGAACCTCCCCACAAATTTTCCCAAGGAAAATTATTTGAGAAAGATTGGCACATTTTTCTCAAGATAAACATAAAAATAGTATTGAGTGTTTATTGAGTACTTATATGTGCCATCTATTCTTTTGCCCTTAATATGTATTATCTTACTTAATTCTTAAAATAACACAAGGCTGAAACTCTTATTAATTTCATTTATGAGCAAGGAAATCGAGGCAGAGAAGGGTAAATCAATAGCTCCCAGATAGCTGCCCAGACAGAGCTGGGAGTGAGCAAAGGCAGCCAGACAGTGGATGCCGTGATCCTCATCTAACCAGACCTTACTTGAAAGGTCCAGGAGGCCCAGTTTTCAYACCTAATCTTTAACCTGCAAAGCAATTCCTAAAAACAAATAAAAAGATTTCTATGTATATGCCTGGCTATTGCTGGTAGCAGATCCTATACTGCTGATAAACTGAGGGTTTGCCTTATCCAAACAGAAGTCTGGCTTTACCCTAGGCTCCTGGGATATACCTTCTAAGCCTGAGGAATTTCCTGTGTCTCTTCACATAGGGGCCTTGAGCCACACTAGATAGTAAGTAACATTGTGGAATATGGTGAGGGCTCCTGTTCACATAGTACAGGTCTCCCATGGAGGGGCTGGAGGCTAAGGAAAGCCACACGGTGGTCAGCCATATCCTCATGGTCAGGCCCACTGAGGACTCTGAATCCCGCGGCTCAGTGAGTTCTCCAAGTGCACTGCCACACATCGTTGCCAGCAGGGGTTGTTGCTGCCCAGGTCTCCAGCTGGAAGCTYTGCTTCTGGACCCTCCTGGACTCTRCCCTGTCTGATTCTCGTCTGTATCCTTTGGCTGCCACTTGAACGTAAGTGAGCTGAACAGCTTTTGGTGAGTTCTGAGTCCTTCTAGTCAATGATTGAAACTGAGGGTGGTCCTTGGGCCCAAACTCTGCACTTGGTGTCAAGTGAGGCTGAGCTTGTGGACTGTTCTCTGACTTTACAGAGGCCAATTCTAAAGTACAAGAGCAAGATTGATTTGGGTCTCTGARGGTCATTGTCATTTCCACAAGGTAGTGTAGAGGACTCGGCACCAGCGTCATCCTTGCTGTAGGTGTGCACTCACTGTTAAAGCAGAAGGAGCAGCAAATAGGATCCAACCTGGGTGTCACTGGCGTAGACTGCCTCAAGGGCTCTGGGAGAGCYATTCTGCGATCATATCTGGACTTAGCAAGAAAAGAGTGCTATAATTAGCTAGTAACATCTCACAGGTATATGGGAGGAGTGTACTCTCCTTGTTATGYCTAAAATAGAGGTGGGTAGATAAAGTCTTGATGATAGCTTGTTCCATCTAGGACTGGGGAGAAGAGCGACCATCTTTCACCAATCCACTCATTCACTCTTAAACCAATACAAATCAAAAGTCGGCCGTTATGTTCCAGACCCTGTCAGGCACAGGCAACCCTGCCTTTTCCTTTGCTGATGTTAGAGTAAGAAGCATATGGCTCGCCTTGCTTAAGAAGTTCAGAAAGAAAGGAAGAACACAATTGATGATTTGATGGATAGAAGGAATTTAGCTCCCTGTGAACTTAGGAGCATGAGTTCCCCATCTCTCCTTCACAGTCTGCAAATAAGTCACCATCATCTCTCACCTGGATGACTGTGACCACCTCTACTGGTCCAGACACCTCCACCACTGCTCCTTAGCCACAATTCCTCATAACACCGCACCATGCAGGGTGGTTTTGGCAAACWGCTCGCTCATCTGTGCCTACAATCCATTTCCCTGCAGCACCCTTTCTTCCCACCAGAGGGCGTGTGCGTGTGGTGCACCAAAGTACAGAGACCCTGTGGCCCACCTCCCCCACCCCCAGTTCCCCCAGTTTAGCCAGCTCATCCTTCAGACCTGCCAAGTCCCTACTACTCCAAGATCCTTCACTGACCTCACTGCCCAGGGAAAGGATGCCCTGCAAATTTCCAAGTACCCCGGGGAGTGATGTTTTCCCTTCCTCAAATGATCACTTGGTCCATCATCAGCTCTCCTCCAACACTCCCTCTGCCCCCCAGAGCTGCATGAGGACAGCCAGTATCCCCAGAGCTAAGCATACCACCTGCCATAGTGCAGACACTCATCAAGCATTTATGAACAAGAAATACACAACTAAATGAAGGCTGAAATCCTACTGAAAGCGACAAAAGAAATATAAAACAGGGGCAAACCTGTGAAACCAGAGAGGATTCGTTACTTTTGTATGAGAAATGTCACAGAAATCCACCAGGTTCATCACGTGGGAAAGACAAAGTGACAGAAGGGCCACATAGCTCGGGAATCACCATGGCAAAGGAAGTCAACCTGGTGGCAAATTCATCAAATCCTGTGGGTTCACACTCACACCCTGTGCACAGGCTGGCGAGTGTAGGGTGGTCCCTGAGGGTGGAAGACCTGCCAGTCACTGGGCTGACACAGAGTGGCAGCCCCAGCATGCCCCCCCGACCCCACCCTACAGCTGGCTTGGGCAGCTGTGGCGGCTGGTGCCTGATGAAGACTGGCACACCAGCTGAGGCAGGAGGAAACCGAGCCAGCAAACTAAGGGACAAAAACAAACCACACTAACACTGCAGGAAAACCCCTGTAACGGAAGAGAGGCTGTAGCCAGGAGCTGTGTCAGCCGGTTCTCTTTCAGTCACTCCTCACAGACCTCTGATCTGGCCACCAAGACCACACAAAGTCTACACTCTTCCCTTTGCTGAAAGATTTGACTCAGAAAAGTCAGTTTCTACTGGAACCATTTAAATGTCCAATACCACAGTGCATCTCACCCTGTATAGTTAAGGTTCCAGCTGCCATCAATGTGAGTGGACAATGCCACTCAGATTGTCCTCCAGTGACAGAAATGTACCTGGACACAAGGCTGGACCTCAGTCCCCTGAGGTGGCCATCTGACAGTTCTCTCCATTTGTAGGTGGGCCAAAGTCCTTCCTGGGTGGCATTTATATTATAGGCCCAGGCCTTCCAGGAGAGAGGCAATATCTCCCCTGCACCCTTTCTCTCCCACTGGCTAGAACCCCCATACCAGAGGGGTCCTGGAAGCTCACATTGAAACCCACAGGAAGACAGTGGCTCATCTTGAGCCTGAGTTTGGGAGCACAGCCACCTCCCACTTCCAGTACCTGGCTGGATGTGAAAAATAAATCAACGTGCTGCTTTCCACTGCACTGCGATGTTCCAAGCCAACTATTACCCTCATGAGGGAGGAAAAAAAAATCACTGGTCTTATGACAAGCTCATAATTCAAAAGGTGGAAACTGACCTGAAGTATCAAAGCAAATGTTCTATAAAACAGATTTACTACCTAAAGCACAAGCACATTTTAGAAAGTCTCTAGTTATTGCAAAAAATTTGGGGTAAACTGCATGTATGAAAATAATCTATAATTAGCTTACAGATGAAGTGCATTGATTCCTGGATTTTGAACAGCAGCGGCCACCATGAACCAAAACACTGATGCTAAGAAGAAAATAACTAGATTATCAATTTGACACAAATAGAAGAAAATGATGATAAAAACCAGAGACATGCCTGGGGGATGCATGAAGAATGACCCATGTCATGAAGGTGGTCTGTGGGCAGAGCCCAGAAGGAACCAAGTCACCCCTTAGACCCACCTGCTCCTCCAGCATSGCATCTGCTATCGAGTGAGGCCGAAGCCCGAGAAGCCTCCTGTGTTGAACACAGTTGGGCCTGAATGACAGGGGAAGAGGGCCGAGAGCAGACAGTCTGCCATCTGACCACTCTGGAGCCAGCAGCAAGGGGCAGGTGGGTCAGATCTCCTCTCACCTGAGAGCACATGGGGCCCTTGGTTAATCTTCCAGGAGAAGTATCCAGAGAAGAGATTTTTTCAAATAAGTGCTCTGTCCTTAAACACAACACTGCCTCTTCAGGAGTTCAGTGGTTCATGAAGATCTTTTTTTTAAGCTGGTATTGGGGATTGAACATAGGGGTTTTGCACAAACAAATTATCCACTCTAAGTACAATTTTAAAAATATTTATTTTTTAGTTGTGGCTGGACACAATATCTTTATTTATTTATTTTT